ATTTGCAAGATATATTTGAACGGTTAAGGGCTGTTAACTTAAAACTAAATCCAGCAAAATGTGATTTTCTAAGGAAAGAAATTCTGTATTTAGGACATGTTATTTCAAGTGAGGGCATAATGCCTGATCCTGCAAAAATAAGTACTGTGCAAAATTATCCGCGCCCCACAAATACAGACGAAGTAAAACGATTTGTAGCTTTTACTAACTATTATCGAAAGTTTTTACCAAAATTCGCTGAAATTGCACATCCTTTAAATAAATTGACTAGAAAAGGCGTACCATTTGAATGGAATACCAAATGTGAACAATCTTTTGAAACGTTGAAACAACGTTTAGCAAGCCCACCTATATTACAGTACCCGGACTTTTCAGATCAAAATCGTTTCATTGTTCAAACCGATGCGTCAAACAATGCCATAGGAGCAATTTTATCTAATAGGAACGGATTACCAATAGCTTACGCTAGTAGAAGTTTAAACAAAGGCGAAAAGAACTATCCAGTAATTGAAAAGGAACTTCTTGCGATAGTTTGGGCTGTTAAGTATTTTCGCCCATACTTGTATGGTCGACCTTTTAAAATACTTACAGACCACAAACCACTGGTTTACTTGTTTAACATGAAAGATCCTTCTAGTAGACTTATGAAATTCAGAATGACGTTAGAAGAATACAACTTCGAAGTACAGTATGTTAAAGGTTCTGACAATGCAGCTGCAGATGCACTGTCTAGAATCACTTCAAAGGATTTGAAAGAGATGCATGAAAGTGTGTTGAATGTAATGACGAGAGCACAAGCAAGAAAATTATATAATACTAATTCTGCGGTAGATATGGATACTTCAGACTTGAGGCCTGATCAACCGAAAGTCGTAAGCACCCACATCAAACCGAAAGAATCAGTTGAACTAAGATTTATTGATATTAAAGGATTAGAGAACTTAAGGAAACTAAGAATAATTACGAAAGAAAACAAAATATTGTGTTACGTTGAAAGTAAAAGGACTATTTATGTGAAATTTTTAAACTCTCAATCGCAAATGACGCGAGACGAGTTTGTGAGAGAGATTGATAAATTTTGCATTTTGTTAAATATAGAAGAAATATACATATTAAAAAACAAAGATAATGATATTTTCATAAAAAAGTTGTTAGAAGAGATTAAAAATAAAAAGTAGGTGCGGACCGCGCATATGTATTTTAAGTGATGTAAAAAGAATTGAGAATAAGATGATAAAAAAGTTATCTTAAATGACTTCCATCTCTTACCTAGTAGTGGCCATGCTGGTATGAGACGGATGTCAAACAATATAAAGAAATACTATTTCTGGCCCGGTATTGATAACGATGTACGGGAATTCGTAAAACGTTGCGATAAGTGTCAGCGACAAAAGTATTCACTACCAAAGAAAGAACCAATGGTGATTACTAGTACTGCAAATACTGCATTTGAAAAGATATTTTTAGACCTTGTTGGTCCTTTGGAGACAGATAACGATAATTTTACATACGTATTAACTTTACAATGTGAACTCACGAAATATGTGGAAGGCTATCCCTTAATTTCCAAAAAAGCAGATGAGGTGGCAAGATCTTTTGTAAATAACTTTATTCTAAGGTACGGCGTGCCAAAAGTAATCGCAACAGATCGAGGTAAGGAGTTTTTATCGGAAATATTTCAAAAGGTTTGTACATTACTTAACATTGAACAATTAAATTCTACAGCATACCATCACCAATCAATTGGAGCCCTAGAAGTTACTCATAAACATTTGAATGCGTTTTTGCGTATTCAAACGGAGAACCATCCTGAGTTGTGGAGTAAGTGGATTCCATTTTGGTGTTTTGCTTACAATACAGGCGTACATACAGAGACAGGATTTACTCCCTACGAGTTGGTGTTCGGTAAGAAATGTTCTCTTCCCAGTAATCTGACCAATGACTTAGAACCTCTTTATAATTTCGAGAGTTATCCACATGAGTTAAAATACCGTTTGCAACTTTCTCAAAGAGAAGCAAGAAATAATCTTGTAAAAAGTAAGATGAATAGAAAATTAATGTATGACAAATATGTTAATCCTGTTAGTTATAAAGAAAATGACTTAATTTTAGTTAAAAATGATACACTAGGTAAATTAGATAGCATTTATTCTGGTCCTTACAAAGTAGTTAAAGACATACCACCAAACGTAGAGATTATAAATAAATATGGGAAAAAAGATATTATTCATAAAAACCGTACGAAACCATACAATACAACTTGATTTTAATTTAACTATCATGTAAACGTCATTCCTATGTTTTGTATGTACTTACCATGTTTATTCCTATGTTTAATTAAAAATAATGCTAAAATAATATATTTCCACCTAAGTGTATACACTATTATTTTGTAAAAAAAAAAAAAAAAGAAACCTATTTTTTTTTTTTTTTCAATAAGAGCGGTGATGTGAGGCATATATTATACCTATTGTAAGTTCTATCTTGTATTGTCTTTGTACCAATGTAACCATTTATAATATGTTATTCTATCAAATATAGGCCAGTATTATTCGGGCATCCACTGGTTTCATTTCATATAAACACCGCACCTTACAGGGGCTCCGCTATCCAACTCTTGCTGACTTAAACCCACCACAGTGTCTCACCGCACTTGTGGATACGAGGTTGCGAAAAACACATCATATTCCTCTCGAACCCGTGGCTGCTCGTCAGACAGGCACCGGCTGGGACAATATCTAAATTCTTAATCTTATCCATCATTTCCTGATCCAGAGGGATAGCATCAGTAATGAACTTATCATTAGGTTTAGCATTAAGTTCAAATGCAATAATAGGGATGATGACAGGGTATGAAAATTTAAAATCTAATTAGTCCGTCATTTAGGTAATGAAAAATATTAGACACGTATTTTTTATTTTGTTGTATAATAAAAATATACTCAGATATAACGAATTAAAGTTTAGAAGTGCTAAAACGTCATTTCTACGTATAAAATGTACATAGAAGTGACGTCACGCGACATTTCAAATCAATATACCGTAAAAAGTATTCGTTTCAGTAAAAAAAAAAAAATACGTGTCTAATGATTTAAAATAATCTAACAGTCGGACATTAAAATGAAAATTAGTCATCTACTCTATTATTGATGTGAATCGATAGTCATTTTCTAGAACATAAGAAAGTATTGCCTGTTGTCGTTCGGTGCGTTCGAGCTAGAGGTGTTGATTTATATTTTCGGCTCGGAAAAGGGTTATTGAACTGTTATCGGTTCTTCGAAATCTCTCAGAAATTGCATGGTGTTCGGATTACTTCGGCTCGACCCCTGCTTTGTGGAATTTACAGCACAACTAGTAAAAGTAAGTGTTAATTATAAATGCAGTCCTCTATCAATCAGGTATACTCTTTTATGTAGTGGTCTATAGTAAGTACATTTGCTTTACTAAAAGTCTAATTGCTAAAGAAATTCTGCGGCCTCGTTGGCTGAGTGGTCGCAAGTGCGACTATTGGGCAAGGGTCTCGGGTTCGATTCCCGGGTCTGGCAAAGTATTAGTGGGTATTTAAAAAAACGACGGGTTGCACTCCGAGAGTGCCGGCAGAAGTGAAACTTAAGTATTAAAGTTGTGTGTTTTGGATATTTTGGAATGGCTATGGAATAAATTTGCACGAATTGCTTTAATTATCAGAATAAAACTATCCTTACTAATATTATAAATCGGAAAGTGAGTTTGTTTGTTTGTTTGTTTGTTCCACTTTCACGCCGTAACTACTAAACCGATTGCTTTAAATTTTTGCAGACGTAAAGTTAAAAGTCCGGATTAAATAATAGGGTACTTTTTAACCCGGAAAAATTTGATATTCCCGAGGGAAAACAAAAGTAATGGTATAGATGGCGCTGTGTGTTTTGGTATATGTCACATAGGCTACTTTTTATCCTTTTGTGACGCGAGCGAAGCCGCGGGTAAAAGCTAGTATTTTATATGGTAGAATACAATATTTATTTATTGAGCTATCGTTCACAAACATGACAATTTATATTTCATTAAAAAGCTTATCCTTCAGAAAAACTTCACTATCATTATTACCAGAACCATCATCGCCAATCTCTAAAACTGATACGATCGGTTTATGATTGCTAAATTTTTGATTCGAACCTACTTAAATGTCTAATAAAGACCACATCAATAGCAGTTTTGTATTTCGTTGTGCTAAGATGGCGATCATTTGACATAGATAAGTCAAATTCATTATTTAAAAATTCAATTAAACATATAAACACACACGAACATTCGCGCAAGCACCCTGCGCTGCCTAAACGAAACAACCAGCGCAGGCATACATTTTCATCGCGCCGTAGAAAGAGAGGGGGATACTCCCTGTCCTACGGCACTCCAACTGTCAATCCGTCTTACGAATTTTCGATCAGGTCACGTGTCCTGACACGATTCCTGACGCGAGTCCTGACGAAAGTTTATCATTTTTTAGCCATTACAATAAAAGTGTCTCACGGCTATTACATGGGACTCATCTCAGCCCCTATCACATGGGACTCATAACATAAATAGTGAAAAGTGGGTGTTACATTGTACAGTGACATTAAGTGACGAAATGTGCACCTCTGCCTACCCGTTCGGGGATAAAAAGGCGTGATGTTATGTCATGTAAAGAAATTCTCAGTAGCTGAATAGATTGCTCAGTATATAGGAAATAGGGTCATTCCCATAATCCCATCCCAGTCTCTGGGTTACACTGGACATATTGCACTGGCCATATGACAAGGCAGATCGAATTCATTGTAATGGAACGCACAACTGGCAAAAAGTAGGTGTTATTATGTTACTTTATATTTTTACCATATCTTTCACAAGATACCAATAAAAGGTGTGATTTTATTTATATTATATATACAATGGAACAACAGATTTTTGTAGCCAAACAAATAAATAATTTATTTAATTAAATACTTTTTATAATATTAATCAGCTGTTTTACATTTTGACTAGTAAGGGTACCGCCTTGAGGTGTCCAATCGGTACATTCCAGATCTGAAAAAAAAACAAACAAAATATTTAGATAATGAAGCGATTAGAAATTTTTGACCATGACACAGTTTTCTAAATCAGGTTATTAGAAAGAATACTTTCTTTGAGCTAAATATGTGAATTTTGGTTTACAATAAATATGCTCGTACAAATAGAGTTTTTCAACTATAAAAACATACACCGATTGTTTAGTATAAAGTATATCAGATTAATAGAAAAATTATTAACACTTAAAGTTTTGGAGGAGTTTAAAGGTACATTAAAAAAAAATTTGGTAGTATTTACCCAGATTTTGTTAAGATATCGTTGCCCATACGAAGTTCAGCACCACGGCACGTGTTCAATGACAACTGAATTTGGTTGTTGCACAATCGACCAACTAAATGGTTGTAGGTAACGGTAGCAGCAAAGAATTCCCAAGCACGGTTGTGGTTGCAGAAGTTGGTGAGGCAGCCAGGTTGGGAGATACCACCGTTGGGATAGAAGTCAGCATTGGCGACGTTGGAGCCGATACCAAGACCTCCGACGGTGTAACCACCATCAGTGTGGATAGCCTCGACGTAGATACCATCATTAGGGTTGACACGGTTGCTGTTCAAGTTCCATAGGGGACCAGCAGGGTCCAAAGCTGAAATTGAAAGAAACAGGCATTTGTTAGTTGGACTAAAATTAAGAAAATGAGCGACATGCATCTAACAATATAATAGTAAAATTAATTACCTGTGACTCGAGCGACTTTGCCTCCAAGTTCACGTCCAGCGTTACCGACAACGTGAGCACCCAAGCTGAAGCCGATAAGATGCATCTGGGTTAGTGGTTGCCCAGTAAGCTCGCTCAGGAAAGCCAAGAACCGTCCAAGGCCACGACCAACAGCTGGTACTCCTCTGACTGCAGTGGCGTAGTCAGACAACGCTAGTCTTCTCCAGTCCATTACAATTACATTTGTCTCAAGTTTCCTCAAGTAGACTAAAAAAAATATAAATAATATTGATGAGTTTGATTGTTACCAAAGCAACTTGAATGTACAATTTCATACTAATTATGTGTTTTTAGAATTATGCTCAATGTATCTACTAGTACTTAACAATTAATAGAGAGCGACTCACCATCCCTAATGGTAGGATTAATGTTGGTGTTTTGGTTACTGAGCCAGCCATGGACAACAACAACGGTGGGAGCATTTGGGTTGAAATTCGAGTTGGCAATAGAAGCAGCATCGTTTATTACCAGTGATTGAGGATTATCAGGGTTACGCCTGAAAATTCATCACGAGAATGTGTTAGTTTTAATTCTAAGAGTAATCAAATCATGCCATTAAATCCTTTGACAAAAGCACCTACCTGGTGAAGAGTAGGTACTGGTTGTTGGCTGGGTTCCTCTCAATATTATTGAGGAGTTCCATGTCAGGCTCAGCCTCAAGATCTACCTTGTGCATGTTTCCTTCGCCATCAGGAAAGTCAATGTATCGAGGATATGAGTGGTCCTCAGAATACAATGAGCTAGTTGGAATGGCGGACGCGGCATAAACTGGAAATAAGATATTTTTTTAATACCACTTACTTTATAATATCAATCGGAAGAAAGTTAAGCTTGTTCAAAATATGGGACATTTATATCAAAGATCATTATATCGTTCTAATCACTAACTCGTTTGTCTATTCATAAAAAAGTATATCATAGGCAATTTAATTAAAGAACACATGTAATTGTCTAAAAATTGCTTTGTAATGTTTTAGAAATCAGCGAAAATAATTATCACTTTAAATATTACGAACTAAAAGATAGTACTTTAGGGACTCCCCCTGTTATCTAGTTTAATTTTCTTTAAGATCATTTGACACTTCACTTTTAACTTATTTAAATAAAAGAAGTCGTTTTTAATTATTCTCTCTTTTATATCACTAAACTCACCCGCTATGAGCAGCAAGCACAAGAAAGACTTTTCCATTTTGAATATACTAACAGTATAATATTAATTTAACAGTTTTTAAAGCTATTTATTGAAAAATGTTATCAGCAACGACAAGATTTTACGATTAAACATTATTTTATCACACATGTTAAGGGAATGTGATGCTTATATTTCGACGATAGACCAACTACATGCGTAAATGAAATACCTATCAGTATGATTTTAATCTATTAGATATTATAATGCTATGCTGAGATTTTTAAAGGAAAACGATATAAAACTGTATCAGCAATTTGTGCTTCGTCAATTACAGTTTCATTGCAGGAAAACATATCTGGTTTTAATTCCGATACGAGAATATTATTTTGGTATAGATTTCCACGGTGGAATGCCTGATTTAAATCTGAAGTTAGTAGTCTTCAAGATGTTAAGAAACAAATCACTACATATTATAAAACAAAGTCTTGCTTAGATCTTAAACACTACGCGATGGATTTTGACGGGGTATTTTTCGTAGAAAGAGGACTTCTTAAGGAAGGTCTATATATTGTATAATACATGCATATTGCACCCGTGCGAAGCCAGGGCAGGTCACTAGTAGGTTATAAAGAGTCCTCAATAAGTCCACAATATAATTGTGAACTTTCCTTAATCAAAAATAAATTGCTTTGACTGTTCAATACAATAAAATATTAAAAAGTTATCACTATTTCATTAATTGTTTTTATGACCAACTTAATTTTAGTATTTTTCCAGCAATTTAAAAAAAAATAAGTATGCTGTTTGACGCAACAAAAACGTGACCTCACAATTCACAATCTCGTACAATATTCATAGAAAATTGTCGTTTTTGACAGTTCGAAAAAAAGTATTGAATTTAACTAATTGTCAAATACCGTATTATCATCAATTAAGTTACCAAGTTAGTTATTACATTAACTGTGACAAAGACAATATATCAGAATATAGACATAGAGAAAGAGTAAAAGGCAGAAGGAAACAAATAGGTTATAAAGAGTTAACTCTTCTCCATTTCTTCCTCTCTTTCTCTTTTGTTCAACAACAGAGATCATAGTTGTTGAAAAGAAGAATGTAAAATATGTAAAGCTTATAAATACTTTCATTATCTGTATTGGTGGTACTTTTATCAATTATCTACTCACCTACTCAGTTCATGTTTGCGTAAAGTCTATTGCTCATGTTTTTATTATTTTAATTCATATTATTATCACAAAAATAATAGGATTAGGGATATGATTGTTTTATCTTATATCATTTTTGTATCGGACACTTGCAAAATCGAAAGATTTTATGGAAAATGCCATAATTTATTAATTAATAAGTGATCAAATATGTTATCTTTTCCGTCAACGTTATTGCTATTTTTCGTAAGATAGCGTTTATCTAAATTTTAAGTGTATTTAAACAAAAATAAAGTAAATTCTTATGTTACCTATGTATGTCAAGACTATTGGCCTTCATTTAATTCAAGGCCAAAAAATTACTCTTGGTCATCAAAAATTTTGAACGGCTAACATGAGGAGCTATTTATTTCTAGATTAAATATTTTCAAATATTGGCAACATTTTGGTAGACCACATACATCAAATAATACTTCTTGTATCACACGGAATTAAGTCATAACATTTATAAGTATTGTGTATAAATTCCTGGCTAAAAGGTTTTAAACAATAAAACAAAATGTAAGAATACTTATTAGGCCGAATTGTTGATTATTTTAATTTTTTTTGGTACTAAACAATTTTTTTAACATAATATTTATGCATAAATGAATAACTTCGTCAAATTAGTAAGGGTATCTTCTGCCAGTGTCCAAGCGGTACATTCCAGATCTGTAAATAAAAAATAAAGGATTTTATTAACCAACTTACGCAAAACGTCAATGAACTAAATGTAAATCCTTGCATGTTATGAATATTCATCATATAAGCTTAAGAACAGGAGCTAGTAAAGTATAAAACGTCTAATAATATTACCAATTTTAGCTTATTATTAAACATCACACATTGTTCATTAGGTAGTTGTTTGAAGTTTAAATTTCTTACCCTGATTTCCTTAAGTCATCGTTGCCCATACGAAGTTGAGAACCACGGCAGTTGTTCCAGGTCAGCTGAGTCTGGGTAGCGCACTGACGTCCAACCAAGTGGTTGTATGTGACAGTAGCAGCAAAGAATTCCCAGGCACGGTTGTGGTTGCAGAGGTTGGTGTAACAACCAGGCTGGGAGATACCACCGTTGGGGTAGAAGTCAGCATTGGCGACGTTGGTGCCGATACCAAGACCTCCGACGGTGTAACCACCATCAGTGTGGATAGCTTCCACGTAGACACCGTCACGGGGGTTGACACGGTTGGTGTTGTAGTTCCATAGAGGACCAGCAGGGTCCAAAGCTTTAAAAAAGAAAAAGACAATGTAAAAATGGCCATGGTATTTTCCGCCTGAAGAGGAAAATGATAATCAAATGGATGCTTAATAAAGTCGTTATAAAAGGAACAAACCTGTAACACGAGCGACTCTTCCATTGAGTTCACGACCAGCATTACCGACGAGGTGAGCGCCCAAGCTGAAGCCGACAAGGTGCATTTCAGTGAAAGCCTGGCCAGTAACTCTGTTCAGAAAAGCCAAGAACTGTCCAAGACCGCGACCGACTGCGGGTACACCTCGGGCTGCTGTAGCGTAGTCAGACAACGCCAATCTTCTCCAGTCCAAAACAATGACATTGACGTCACTCTTTTTCAAGTAAGCTGAAAATATAATAAAGCTGTTTACATAACCAAAATCAATTGTAGTCAACGTTCAGTTAAAGTTTTTTAGAAATAAATATTTTCTTGCCAACTTTTTTACGCCTAAAATTTTGCTTTGGCTAAGAACCTTCGCAGTATTAACTGGTATTATGTATATAGAAAGTTGTAGGTGGCAGCAGTTCCGATATTACGTGACTACGTGCTGCTGACAAGTTGTGAACTTTGTTAACTGGGAGAGTTATGGAACACAATGGAATAATATTTTTCGATAAGGTGAATCTTCTGAGATCAGAATGTTTGGTATTACTTGAAAATTATTTCTCGCTTTCTACGTGAGACAGAGTTTAACTTCTACGTAGACTACTAGATTTTGAATTAGAACAGTGGTGTATTAATGCTATTATTTTGGATTATATTAACCATTCCTTGTTTGTTTAAAAAAAACAGTCTAAAAGTGTTTTTCTATATATTATTGTATAGTTAACAAAATTCCAAGTGCACTTACCGTCCCTGATGGTGGGGTTGATGTCGGTGTATTGGTTGCTGAGCCATCCGTGAGCAATAACCACTGTTGGGACTCGAGCGTTGAAGTTCGAGTTGGTTATAGAGTTGGCATTGTTGATCACCAAAGTTTGGGAAATTCTCTGGTTACGTCTGGAATAATGTACAGTGTTATTGTAACCAAATTAAATCACGTCCGCTTATGAATGAAATTTTGAAAATTTTGAATTTCATAAAATTACTTTTTGTATGGTACTAACGCTTGTTTTTTTAGTTATTTGCCATACTTTTCTGTAGTCGAATAACATTTTTTCTATATTAATTGTACAAAAAAAGAAGCTATAGTGATTGGACGATTGACGGACATAGATGGTGACATTTGTCTGTATGGTAACAAGATAAAAGGTTGAATAAATACCTGGTGTACAACAAGTACTGGTTGTTGGCAGGGTTCCTCTCGATTTCTGCGAGGAGTTCCATGTCAGGCTCAGCCTCGAGGTCCACGGTGTGCATGTTTCCCTCGCCATCGGGGAATTCGATGAATCGGGGGTATGTGCGGTCCTCAGAGTACTCTGAGGATATCGGAACCGCAACTGCGGTGTAAACTGCAAAAAAGGAAAATTTTCATGACATTTGATAATCATACAAATATTTCTAATGAAATTAGTCAACCTTTTTTCAATTACGTCACTTCAATAGAACGTTTTTTAAAGTATTTGTACGCTATACAAAACCAATGTAAGTAACTTATAGAGATATAGGTATTAGGTACGCTTTTACCTTTATTATAATAGTTTAGATTCTAAACTTTAGAAGTAAAAATTACAAATGTAAATTAATTAAAACTTACCGATAATTAGCAAACACAACAGGGACTTCTGCATTGTGACAAGATATTGGCGTTAATTCAACATTTTACAAGTAATGCTAGTATTTATTTTATAATTTTATCTGTATCAGGCATAATTTTAATTGTTATCTGTTTTTGAAGAAGATTAACGTTTAGGTTTATACTGTCCTAATCGCTTAATGAAATAGTAGGTTTACAGGGTGTCTTGAATTCAAAATTTTGATCGAAGTCTAAAGTGTAAAGGTCAAATTGTATTGCTTTGGTTGAGTAGTCAAAAAATTGTTTGTTCCATATGTCTAGGAAGTAGATTTTAACTTCATTTAGAAGTAAAGTCTGCAGGATCAGCTGTACCTTGTTATTAGTATGTTCACTGATTCTTTTTGTATAAAACCTCATTTTAATTCAGTATCTGTAGAGTATAATTGAAAAGAATGTTATTTTATTAAATAAACGAGTCTTCAAATGAAAATTACCTTCGAAATACATTTTAGGACAGCCTATGTATAATAAATTGAGAAGCTTAATAATATCAGAAGAGATAGTGCAAGAAGGGGGGGTATCGTATGTCTTGTCATAATACCTTAATGAATTGCAATTAAATCTATTTATAATGCGAAATTAACCTTTGTACGTATTCTTTAAGTACATTTAGTGCTGGGTTGGGCGAAGTAACATAATTTAATTACGTCACGTTCAAAATTCATATTTATTATCATGGTTTTTTTATTTATCATTGGTCTGGCCTATGACGCTTTCAGAAGCCTTAGTACGAGTTGTTTTTTTTGTTTACTACTAATATAATACATACAAAACATTTTTTATGGCATAAGCCAGTAAACGAGTGGACGGATCACCTGATGGTAAGCAATCGGCGTCGCCCATGGACACCTGGAACACCAGAGGCGTTACAAGTGCGTTATCGACCTTTTGGGGATTAGGAGTTGGAGGAGTGAGTGATTAGGAGTTTAACCTCACTTACACGAGGAAACACCACGCAAGCGTTGCTTCACGTCGGTTTTCTGTGAGGCCGTACATCATGAATCTAATAAGAGCCTCTAGCATGGCTAGAAACAAGTCGAGTTCGTCGTCTAATAATTACGTGAGTAAGCCTGTGAAGAGTGCCAATACTACATACAAGTAGGTATATCCTCTTTCTATAGAGATTATCATTTAGCATAAATATTGGAATATTTAAATGAAGTCTTGGCTGCAAGCCGGATCCTTGTTTAAAGCATAAGTACATATATATTTTTCTCTGCTTACGATTTTCAATATAAAACTTTTTTATTTTATTGATTTCAATATGTCACAGAAGTCGGTGCGAGACAAATTTCTTTTCAAAATCAAATTTCCGAGCACCGAATAGCGCATGAGTTGAACTTGTGCCAATATTTTATTTAAATCACCTAAAGTTTCTGCGCTCACCAAGGAAACATTGAACGGTTTTATTTAAAATGCCATTTTCTTTTTGTGAACGATTTTGGTAGCCTATTGATGCAGAGAAGTATAATTTATGGGCATATCATAACTTCCATCGTAGGTATAGACAGGATTAGATCTGAGGGCTTATTGTCAGTTTGTTTTACGTTAAACAAGATCGAATCGTTATCTGATTGGCCTGCTCTAATAAACCAACCAATCAGAGCGCCGAACGCGGTTACGTTTTTAACGTTTTGATCTTATTTAACGTAGAACAAATACGTAATATCGCCCTCTGGATCGATGACGTCATAGTAGCTGAGAATCGGGAGATGAAAGTAGCAGAGTCTCTTTTGACATGGCGGATAATCCGCTGCTGGTTTATAAAGAGTTACTTCTACAATTACATGAAAGAATATTCAGCAGAAACTTTTAATGATGACGATTATGCGCTGAAGTTTCACACATACAAATCCCTTAAGATGCAAAATAAAGGTTCAACTTACAGTGATAGTGCATCTTAAGACTGAAATTAATAACCTACCTCATTACAAAATCTTTCGATTAAAGTTCATTTTTGACTTAATATTAGGTATTATCGTATACAAATTACATTGTGGCTCTAAACTCTTTTTTTCAACCTTGTAATCGAAATTATTATCGAACACTGTTTATGACGTATCGGTAAAATGTACCTATTGTTTTCATTTAATCAATTCAGAACACCAAATATTGTTTAGAATAACAAATGTTTACACGCGGGAGGGCAAACAGCGACGTAACTGACCGATATAGAGGACTACAAACGAACCTCTATTGTATACATACCAATAAAATACATAATATACATACACAGGTATATATAAACCGATTAATTATTGCTTATTTTATTGTAACCTTGCCTTGCATATCATGTAAGTGCATTGAAATGGAAACGAATAGGTAGGTACTATGTATAGTTATCTAAACCGAGGGCAAGTATGTTGTCACATTGGTCAGGCTAATTCAAACGTGACTGTAAACGTAAGTAGGTATTGATCCTTGGTTTATTTAAAGTTCATTATAGTTAAAAATCGGAACTCCACATTTCCACAGAGTTCTAATGTTTCTACAGGTGTCGTAAGAGTTGACTAAGGAACTAGAATTATCACTAAAACCGGGCATAAGCGTTCTCTGGTAAACCTGAGCCTGATAGCTGAAAGCAAATACACCAGTCTCTAATCCGTGCAGAGTAATAATATGCATGTAACAAATGATGTACGAATAGGATACACCCAACTTCACAATACAGAAAACAAATCAATTTAATACTGAACGTTGGCACCTATTTCATCATAGTGCCAATTATGACTAATCAACTGACAAAAAGCATTGAAATATTCCATTTTAGTTGAAGTAATTAAATTACATAATCGTGAATTTATTAGATTGGCAAATTCGCCAGACTATGTGAAACAAGTGAAACAAGTGAAACATAATGAAACAAGTGAATTTATTTCTGCAAATAGGCTACAAGGCAGCACTTTTACACGTCAATTTTATCAAGCGAACGATGAGGTCGACAACATAAAAAGATTCGTAGTACTCTAAATTATTATTAAAATACTTTAAGAGAGCTTCCCATAATATCCACACTTGCCAGGAGAGTTGAAGTTGGTTACAAAAAGTTCAAGATTATCATTGAGAACATACTCATTATCAAATGTAAACCTAGTCACCTCTTAGGACACCTATCAACCTCTTGTATGTACCTCTATAGTGGGTATGTGTGTGTATCTTATTGTATGTATATAAAATACAATAGCAAAAACATATTGTGTCTCGTACGTGAGATCTACGGATCTACGCTCCACGCGATACCATGGGTTAATGTATAGTCAGTACAAATATTTAGTATGTAGGAAGGAAAATAAAGATTGATTCATAATTCAATACAGAGACAATAGGTAACCATAGGTTGGGTACTGAACCGATCAATTGTTACAAGAGCTGAGTTAAAAACTATGTAATTTAGTATAATAACATATACTATAAGAACACAGACAGTGTGTCAATCTTACGTCGAGTCGTGAAGAGTCGTGGTCACCCGCAGATTTAAGACGCCCACTTCTCATGCATGAGGGTGCGGATTCGAAATCTACCAACAGCAAGTACCAATGTGACATTTTTCGAGTTATATGTACTTTCTAAGATTATTTTGACGGTGGTCGTGAAGAAAAACATCATGAGGAAACCTAAGGTTATAATTTCTAAATATTAGTTTGAATTTGCCAACCCACAATGAGTAAGTGTGACGATTAATGCTCAAACCTTCTCCGTGTGAGAGTAGTCTTTGTTCAGCAGTAGCCACTTATAGGCTGTTGATGTTGTGTCAATCTTTACTTTAGTACGGGCGTCGGGCATACTAAATAATAGTGTTAACTATACATTCATTCTACTCTGTCATCGTCACACATATATTGTATTAAAAATCACGGATAGAAACAGAACACGTAGCGTCGGTACTTGATGACGTTTCAAAGATTATGATGCACATTTTGATGGCCAATCCTTGTTTTAATCTTCATTATTTCACTATGGAATATTCGATAGATAAAGTATATTCTTTGTTATTTTATACGTCATCAATTATTATTTTTCACTCATCCGTGATATGTCGACGTAAATACGATACGTGAGGTTTTAATCCCTTTTAATCCTTTGTAATTTGTTATTATTACTGCTTATCTTGAGTATATGTTCTAGTCAGCTGCAATAAAATGTAATAAACGGTGATTTTCGCCTTAATTATTACATTTATTTGCCTTGTGGTGATGACATAGTACCAAATAAATTTTGTAGAAGGCTATATATATTGACCGGATTGGCAATATATTGAAAAAGAGCCTAATTAAAAGTACTCTTAATCTACGAGCATGCATGAAAAGATTAATGAATTTTGATGAAGCGAAAGAGGTATGTAAGAATCGTAGCAATTGGCGTGCCATAGTCTTTGCCTTCCCCCATTGGAGACTGGTGTGAAGTTATGTACGTCTGTATATTTTATTGCCGCCTCTTTTCTTTCCACGTATGTCAGCCAACCAACGCGACAGCTACATTTTCTGATAAACCTAAAGTTTTTTAGATGCCATCTCCATCCGTACGTCAAATAATATTAAGGTAGAGTGTCGTATGTCAAGGAGGTTTAAAAGTGGATTGCCACAGCCTATTTATATTGTCTTACGATTGTGAAAATAATCTTACACAATTTTGGACCCTAGTGCAAAATAAATCTGATATAACGGATCACTTAATGAGTTTTATCTAAAGAATGATAAGTAGTATTATGATAAATCCAAAGTGCAATGATACAGGTCATTTCTTTGTATAATGATATAAAGATTCTTTTGAATGTTCAAAATAATACGTAATTATTGGAAACGTAAAATGACGAAGTGATAACATTACTTTGTTTTAAAAATATCCTGTTATAGGATAACATTGAAAATATTCATCTATTAATTAATTAAAATACATTTCACATAAGTATACGTTTTCAAATATACCTATATAACATAACATAACATCACGCCTTTTATCTCCGAAGGGTTAGGCAGAGGTGCACATTACGGCACTTAATGCCACTGTACAAAAAACACCCACTTTTTACCATTTATGTTATAAGTCCCATGTAATAGGGAGTGAGCCTATTGCCTTATACTGGGCATAATTCCAGACTTCCGTGCTACCACTGGGATTTTTTTTAAAACCCAGTAGAACTTTGCCCAATGCGGGAATCGAATGCAAGACCCCTTGCCCGGCCTATCTAGTCTTATATACATATATAGTATTAGCATAATTAGAATTTGTAAAAGAGACAACTTTCCTGGGAATTACTATA